CACGGGACAGCGCTTAGCTAGCGTAGGTGGGGGTGAGGGGATGGCTGCCCCCCTTGCCTGCCTGGCAGTGCTGCGCCCTTGGCTCAGCTCTGCCCATGCCGCTCGTGGGAGTGTTTGTGAAAAAGCAGCTTATGTGTTGGGGAGGAGGGGGGGGAAGCTAGCAGGGCCCCCCGCGCCGTCTGAGGGGGGCTTGTTCCAAAGGCAAGTGGCCAAAGAAAGTCTGTGGCTGAGGGTGGCTGCTGAGCAGGTCCGCTTGGCCGGGCTCCCCAGCAGCGATGAGCTACGTGACCGTCCCCGTGTCCCCAGAGGCCCAGGGGCGAGGGCAGCCCTGGGAGCACAGCACACTGTTTTCCCCCCCAGACATCCCCCGTCCCTTCCCTGCACTGGGGCAGGGAGGGGGGGGGTGGAGGGATGCGAGCTGGGGGACGTTTCCCCAGCTGGGGCTTTTTTTTTTTCCTTTTATTTTTTTTTGTACGGTCTATTTTTCTGTTTCTTCTGGGTCATGATAACTATCAAAAAAACAGGAAACAAGTCTTTGCTTTCTTTGTTATAAAGAAAATGTCTTGACAGTATCTCCCAACTACACCCCTTTGGAAATCTACTGCATTTTTTGCCATGGGGAGGGCTGTTACAAGCCTTGCAGTCCCTGACAAAGCGGAGGAATGGAAATGCTCCAAGTGCCATATAGCCTGTGATTAATCTGAAAGAAGAACATCAATAAAACATGATCTGCTTCTCTTCAGCTGATAGAGACTCATAAATAATAAACCTATGAGCTGAGGAGTCCAAAATGGAAAGACTTTCTCAGTGTCAGAAACAGTAGGAGAAAAATTTCTGAAAATGATGTGGGAGAAGTTAATTTAGCAGCCCCTGTTGCTTGATCAGCGCTCTGCTTCCTTTCACACCCTTCCCACCACAGCCTGGCACCCGCACAAAGCATTACCCACCCAGCTTTGAGCATCACCTGTGACCCCCCAGAGAGGAAGAGGTGACCTAAATTACAGCTATAGACTTTATCCTGCTGTTATGAAAATCCAGATGTAGATGCTCTCATCACTTGTGTACTGCCTATCTTGAAAATCTTGTAATGTCCTCCAAAGCCTGTGCTAACTCAGGTTGTGTGTCGCTAAGCAAATACCACTTTGTCAGAATGAAGTCAGCAATTTGTTACGTGTAGGTTGAAAAGTATAGGTGCGTAAGAAACCTCCAGAAGACCCCACCACACATGGAAATCCATGGATATAAGCAGAACATAGACCTTTGAGGTCATCAGTCTCTGTCCCTAGCCGTAACACGCCTCTTCTTCCAGCACGGCCTCTTTCTGTAGAAACTGAATTCGGATTTTGCTCACTGTAATGAAGAGCGAAAATTTACCTGGAGAAATATAAGTTGGCTTCATGCTTTCTGGGGAGGAGGACATCTCACAAGCTATATTCTCCTCCTTAACCTGCTTGGAGTAAATTAGTGTTGGTAGAATATTTATTAGTACAGCATAGCTTCAGATAGCAACAGACACAGTGACTTAGCGGAGCATGAATAAAAGCAAAAGACAATAAACACCCCTTCCTCAGCTCTAACTGTGCCAGCAGAAATCAGTCTGCAAGGAGTAAAAGGTTCAGGAGTGGAAACTGAATGAGGAATTTTTCTTAATTCTAGATCAGAAAGCAGAATCAAATAAATGATTAACAGCTTCACTGATACAAAATAAGGTAACCTGGTGCTGTAAAGAGTTATATGGATGTACTTTACAGAGGTGAAGGTTGCTTAGTGTTACTAACATCCCAACTGTCTTCAGTAGATTAGTGTTGTTTTATATCTGTGATAATAAAACAGGTGCCATCGCTGTGGCGTGGATCCTGTCTCCACGCTGAAGCACATACCTGCAAAGACCCCAGCTCTTTGGAAACTTAGTCTCTGAATTTGAGCAGGTTCAGGAAGATTTCTCTGCTAACTCTAAACGATCTTCTAAGAAAGATTTGAATCTAAATCTCCATTTTTAATCTAAAGCTTTATTTCCTTTGGCCTCTATTTGCATCTATTTGGTGTTTTTTCTTCTCTCCTACGACACATAGAAATTTCACAAGTGGCGTAATACTGCCATGTAGGGATTCTTTGTGCCTTCTTTGGATTACACTTTATTTACTAATTAGGATATGTTTAACTTTTCAAGCAAACATTCCTTTCTTTCCTATTTGTTTGAGAGATTATTTCCTCTGGGAAGTTGCTTAAACTCTCTGCATTGCTGTATTGAATCTGGGAGGTACACCTTGATCCAGAAGCCTTAAAAATCCACCACTGCATCTGCTGCTTCGCTGGTGTTTGCAACAGCGACGACTGGCCTCGGGCTGCAGTTTCAATTCAAGAACACCATAGCACAATCTGCAATCAGCCACTTCGATCAGCTCAGACCAGTCGAGAAGCCACCACCTTCGACTGTCTCGTGGTGGACCCTGGAGAGCTATAAGCACTGTGGTCAGCTGTGCTAAACACAGACAGTTGTGCTGCTCTAACGTGCTGGAAGCAAGTGGAAAGGAAGAGTCTCAAATACCTCCCGAAACCCCCTCAGAACTAGCAGAGAGCCAGTTTTCCAGTATCTTTCCATCACTGGATATCTTTAGGAACCAGCTAGACTGGTATCAGTCAGATGTTTCTTTGGTGAAGAGTCAATAGCCAGACTCTTTACCCCAGCAAGCACATCACAAGGCTTTCTCCTGCTTGATGTCAGTCTCCATGGTGGCCTAGAGGAACCTGTTATTTTTCTCTTCGTGGTGCTTGAACATCTGCTATAAACAGACACTTTACTAGAAGGAAGTCTCATTTTCTCTGTCTAACTTCAACTCCAACATCACAACATCTGAATAATGTATCAGAGCTGTGATGTCTACCATCCCTTCAGCTCCCTATTCGCCCTGAGTTCCCTGTCATCTCGACCTGATGCAATCAAAGAAATAGCACCGGATGCTTTCCTAGCTCCTGGGTACCACTGCTGAAAAGTCTCTGATCACTCTTAATAACATTGGTTCAGCAAGGCCCAAATTCTAACACAATTAACAGGGAAGTAACTGAATAGGCTTTATTGTGTCTCTGCTGGGGACATACAAAAATGCCTCATGGCCTGTTGCGGCCATGTGTAACTCCACGGGCTAAAACATTCTTCCTCATATCAGAAAATGCCAGAAGTTTAATCACATTTTTCTTCCCAAATTGCAGCTTTGAGGCAACTTGGTGACCTATGGCTGGAAATCATTTATACAAACGCTCTTGATTTATTTTGATAGAGATGGATAAGCCCAGATCACATTCCCAGCTGAAAAAGGCATTTTAGAATTTATGTGCATCACTGTTAGGTATGCCTCTGGTGGTATAATCACAATTTCCACCATGTAACCAAATGAACCTCAAACATGCAAAAGCAGCAGGCAAGGAAAGGACTGGATGGGGGCTATTTAAACCCTTTTCTGATTACAGGACTTATGAGGGAATACTGGTTGTATTCAGCATTTCAGATGTTTGATTTCCTCTCCCCAGTGTTCACTTCTTCCTTTTCAAGTTTTATCTAGACCAATTGGAAAATAAGGAAAAATAGGAGAACAAGGCAGAAAGAATACGAACCCTGAACCTCCACTCCAGGATGGGTAGGCAACCGTTATTGTTGCACCCATCAGGTTTTTGTTGTTTGAATTTTATATTTTGTGGCTATTGAATATGTATGTATGCAATCAATGATGAAGAAAAGTGAGTGAGCAAGAGAGACTGACTCTCTATCACAGGAACCACTTATCATCATTTGTGGAAGGCTGTATCTTGCTTTTATCAACCTAAACATGAAAGTTCAAAAGGCTACCCTTCTCCTGTGTCTGGATAATCATCCAGCCTGAGCAAAGAGCTAAATTTAAGTAGACACAATAAGAACTAGTTCCTTCTTTGTCCAAAGACGGTCCCTGGGGCTGCAGGCAGCACATCTCCAGCCCCAAATGCCTCCCAGGGTGGGCAGAGGGAGCTTTCGGGGTCTGCAGGCAGCGAGCGGGCTGATCTGCCCTGCTCCCGTCGGCCCCCTCCCCGCATCTCCGCTGGCCGTGGGGACCCGTGGAGGGACCAAGGGGGACTTTCCACCCCAGCGCGGCCCAGGAGAAGCCCGGGAGCCCCTGGGGGCTGGTGGAACGGGGACCCACCACCCCGGGACCCACCGCGC